CGATTAACTCAACAGAAGGGAGGTGGGGGGGGGGGGTTAATTTACATTATTTTAAATGTTTTATTTTGAAGCTACCCAAGTTTTAACGTTTTTGTTGCAAACACAATATAACTCCCTCTCTGATGATGTTGTTACATCAGTCAATGACACTGTTTTTTTTTTTTTTATCTTACTTATACTTTGCGCCGTTTCAATTTCTTGAGGCTGAGCCTTTCAGGCTGTGGAAGTGCCCTGCCTAACACACGTTGCTGTAAGAAAGCTTGCTAATGTATTGGGATCCATATTACTGTGGAGATGTTAAAAAATTGAGTTCAGTTAAATGAAATTATTGTCTTTCTTGTGGGGAAAGTGACCTGCATGTCTGATTTCAGCAGTCTTATAATAAAATAAAATGCAGTCCCAGTAGGAGCAGAGTCCTTCATCTTTCGTTGGCCTGAAATAAGTTGTCTATATCAGCAGTCTTGTCTCTTGTATAAATTTCACTATTGTTGTTAGTTCAATCAGTGGTGCATAGAGTTTACGTTCAACAGTTGTTCTTTCTGCCCAAAAGGTTTGCCTTAATGTGTCACATTCGGTGCAGTCCTGGAGTACATGCTCTGCTGTCTGGGGCACCTTTCCACAGGTGCACATGGCTGAAACGCCTATCTTGAATTTTATATACATGTGGTTACGTAATCGGTTGTGCCCTGTTCTGGGGCGGAGGTTAATGACTTGTTCTGGTCTGTCCATAATAGAATAGTCATCTTGTGCTGGGGCTGGTGGTTTCCTGATCAATTTATTGATTCTTTTCTTTTGGTGGTATGTGACTGGTATGTCCAACTGCACTTTTGTCGCACCTTTCCCTGCTAGTTGATCAGCTTTCTCATTTCCAGGCACTCCACAATGAGACGGTATCCACTGCATTACGACTCTTTGCTGAAGGCTGAGTTGTGTCAGCAGTGTTTGCAATGCTGGTACTTTCCTAGACTGGAGTGCTTCAAGTACGGATTTTGCATCTGTCAGCATTACCACATACTGTGAGCCAAGATTGGTATTTAACAGTTTCTCTGTTGCTGTCTTGATTGCCTGAGTTTCTGCATCATAGTTATGGCAGTACTTCCGGTTGATACCCTGGACTTATCCCTAGTACCACCTGCGAATTCTAGGTACACTCCAGCACCACCATTTCTAACTGCACTTTGTGCGGACCCATCTGTATAGACTCAGACCCATTGTTCTTGTTGGTATTCTTCATCATTATAACTGAGGGTGGCTATTCTGCATTGTACACTATCTTGCTCTTTCTTGTCAAATATTCCTTTCACATTTGTCTGGATTTGTACTGTTAATTTGCATTTTTCTCTCCATGGGGTTTGTTCTGGAATACTTTTAAGTGGACAACCAATTTTTGGAAGACTCCTGTTTAACCCTTTGGAGATGACATGGCCAATTTATCGGCCCTACACAAAATAGCGACACACAAAAAATACGAATGGGCCAATCGGTGGGCCCTATATAATACAGGCCTTGAGATTGGCTGGCAGGTTTTTGCACCAGTCAGTAGATTTCTTCTCACATTTTTTGCACATGTGGGCTCTCCAAGGACAGCTTTAGAACAAGTATGTGTTCTTTAATTTTACATGGATTTTTGTGTGGGGTTACCTGTGGCAAAAGCAGTGACGAACATGACTGTTGCATCATAACAACTGTAGCACAGCTCTCTACTTATTTACGTACGTTGATGTCACACCCAGGTTCGTCTTTAGGTTTGCTACAGGAGGAGTCGATTGGAAGATTATAGACGAGGAGAAAGATGGTCGATAGTGGTTATGATGATGATGATGTCTTGCTAGCTGCATGCTTCTCACGTGACTCTGATGCTTGTATGCAAAACGTCTGGAAACAACAATTCTCGTCTATACTGTCTTTATTGTGATACTTCAACAATGTCACAAATACATCAAAGATATTCTGAATAGCGCTGTGTTATCTCTATGGCTAAATACTTGTAGGTTCGCGTTGTGTTCTTCATCTCTAGTTGCTTTGTTAACTAGTTCTAGTGTCTCTAACTGCCACCTGGCTTTTAGTGCTGTCTGGTACTAACGTCTTGATCTTCGGCTTTAACATCTCAATAGTGTTCCATGGATCCATGTATCTTGTGTGTCGTCTCTGTAGCTTAATGTCTCGTTTCATGTCTGCTCTCCAGTGACTGTCTTCGAGGTTCAATATGAACGGCTGCTCTCTTTCCAGTGTTGAGCTGGCATCGAGGATCATTGAGACTAGTCGCTCGTCCTCTGAGTCTCAACGACTGATGGCTTCTAAGTGTTGGGCTAACATCTCTACCACTAAAGGTTGTCTTGAGGGTCAATGTGACTGGTCTCTCCTCTCTTGAGTCTTGTGGACTGAAGAATTGCTCTGGGGTGCTTTGTTACTCGTTATTTATACTTGGATGCTGGAATGCTAGGTATTTGTTTTCTCCGTCTTCTAGAATATTCTAGTACGTCTCAACTTGTTTACTAGGTACGTTCTCACGTGGGATTTTCTAAAAATATCTAAAGTGCATCGGATTTAATCATCCTTTTCTACGCAGATATAGTAGTTAAACTGACAATTGAGGTCATAGAAGCTTCTAAGAAACAAGGACAATTGCGTTTGCTTTGATAGGGCATGACAACAAGGTATTTACTAGTACGACAGGGTTGGGTCACATGATGAAAAATGCATTTCAAAACTTCTAGAAAGAAGGCCAAGGCCAGACAACATCAGTTTGATGTCAACAGCTAGTTTTGGCAGGAAAAGAAGATTCTGTAAAAGGGAATGTCAAGGTTACCAAAACTTGTTGATTTTCAGTACATCATAACTCTGCGTAATAACCTATTTCCTACAAACAAGTAATGACGTCTCCCTGTTACATAATCAAAACATAGCAGCAGGCATGAAATGGAGTAGAATCATGTGCCAGATATGTGTGAGGGCCTCCATGGGCCTAACTTCCCAAAACACAAGTGTTAGGACTTATTCAGGCTTCATTCATTGAAACATTCACTCACATTTTTTTTATGTTAGTCATTTTTATTTTTTAAGTTAAAAAAAATTATGCAAATCAGAATAGTTAATTTGAATAAACGTCAAGATTTCAGTTTGATTTGTAAATATTCTGTTAGCTCATTCAATTTCCTACACGAATATATGTAGTTTTATTAAATTTGTTTGTGTGTAAATTAAGAGAATCCCTCAAGAAGGCTCCGTCTTGTTGGCACTGAAACTCCAAAAAGGCCCTATCTCTAAAGGGTTAAGGTGCAGTTGGGTAATGCTAGGGAAGCAGGCCTGCATGCCTGGGAGTTTGGTAAAGCGAAGCAGGTAGGATAAGCCTACAAACATTCTCACTGGCAGAGGGGCTAAGCTGTACTGATTATCATTCTGTTTAAGAGCTATCCGCATCTGTCCACAGATATCATAGAAACAGGTCTCCACCCAGGAGTCTGGTCAATGTAGACTGGATCATTGGTTTCTTTGAAGTTGGAGTGTGTCTTCCTGAAGCAGGAAACCAACATTCTGCTCACAAATAAGCTTGATCTGTAAAACAGATGTGCACACCACACTCAGGTTCTGGAACAAGACTTAAATCTTGAACTAGAAGAACAGCTAGGACTTTCTGCTGGAGTTTAAAGTTCACGAGCTTGAAGAAAGAAGACAGGGAAAATACAAAGTGTCAAATGTCAGTGCACAACATTAAGGTGACAGATTCTATCAGCAAACAGACAAAAAGAAATAGCAAAAATTGAAATGACATTAGAACAGCTGCAGTAGACACAGAATGCAAAGCTGTGTAATAACATTTACAAAACATGCGGTGACTAAAGTAAACAAAACATTTTAAACACAGAAGTTCTAAAGACACTGGGAAAAAAAAGAGGTTGGGGAAAAAGGGGGATCAATGTGATGATCTTTACAAAGTCTGCAGACACTGAAAAGGTTTTACTTGAACTCATGGTTTTGTCTGTCCTCTCCAGATGTTTCTATCACATGTCTTCCATCCTTCCTTCAACCTCAGTCTGGCCCTTTATGTTTTGGAGCCTCATTTTGACCCACCGACCCTCAACAAGCACTCCATGAAAAGCAATTAATGAAAGCTATCTGGTGTCACATTTTTAAAGACAAGTGAAATATTTCAGTCATATTAAAAAACATAACACTCTTACTCTTATAATAGCCACCTCTGCACCACTTGGTGGTGAATTGATGTTTGACAAGTTAGATATTGTGAGGGCCGTTTGGGAGCTAGTGGACTGCGGTGGCGCTGCGAGGAGTTACCAGTTAAGGCGATGCGAGTCCGACCCGTAATCCAGCGCACCGCAATCAAAACCCACTGCTGGCTGCGTGGATTTTTATCATGGTATGGGGCGTCACAGGTCGACCCAGCCTAAAATGGGTACCAGGATGGTCTGTCCTGGGAAAGTAAAGACAGCGGGTGTAATGCTGACCACATTACCCACCGAGTGCTGATGGTCTGTAAAAATGTGGGTGCTTTTCCCATATGCCCGATAAGCCTAAAGGCGTGGAAAGGGATCTTTACTTTTTTTTTTTTTACTGGCTGACATTCTGATACAAGTGGGAGGATGGACATGCAAAGTTTGATAAAGAGCAGTCTGAGACAGTCGACAACCAGGTTATAGAATAAAGCATGTTGGATATTCTTTATAGCCAGCCTTTCTTTGTGAAAAAGGCACCTGATTGATTGATTGACAAAACTGGTACATACTCAGTGGGTGTGCAACTTTGAGGGAAAAATAATGAATTCAAACAGAAGCCGGATGTGGCAAGTGGTATACGACCACATGGAGATATGACAAGACTGCCTGGCCTGGATACCAGGAGGGACATGATCTGGTCCAGTAAGAAGCTATACAGACTGGAAATTATAATAATTGTCTGTTACTGTTGTCAGTTCTGTTCTTTGCCTCTTTTCAGACATTATTGTTTATTGTTATTTTCAATTTTCAGATGCTCCCTCTGCAAAAATGATGGAAGATTTTCGTCACATTTACATCCGACTTTGTAAAGATCATCACGTTGATCCCCAGGACTGCGTTCTGGAGACACTGAAAAGGTTTTACTTGAACTCATGTTTTTGCTTTCCTTTCCAGATGTTTCTGGCACTCATCCTGCATCCCTCCTTCAATCCCAGTACTGCCCCTTTATGTTTTGGAGTCTCGTTTTGACCCACTTCCCCTCAACAAGCACTCCATGAAAGGCGATTAATTAAAGCTTTCTGTTGTCTTTTAACAAACATAACCCTTGACCCGTTAGGGTCGTGAGGTGTATCAGTGGAAGCACAGCACATAAAACCCACCATCTTTCTCTGTCTTCTGCTTGATGAATAATAAATGATAACTTAGTCCTGTCTATTTCTTGATGTTGTCATTGAAGATTCTTCTTTGTCCTCCTTTTCTTCGACTACCCCACAATGTTCCTTAATTTCTCACCATGTGCCTGAGCCAAGCTAGCTTGCAATGTTTCACCACTGCCAAGAGAGGCTCCTGATGTCTTATATCTTGTGCTGATGCACAGTTATCATACCCTAGCTATAAACCACAACACAGTGCGCCAACCACCCTTTTAAAGGGGAACACAGAAGAAAGAATAGAACTACACAATTTCTCCAGAAGGTTGTACTCAAAGGAAAGGCAAGACGGACATATAACCAGATTGTGACCGGTACCATCAGTATTGGAACTCTGCGCTGGCTGGTGAAGATGAGGACCGAGCACACATGGGAATGCTGTGTGTTCTGTGATGTCAATTCTTGACTCAACTCTCCTCAGCTCAACTCCTGTAGGTTGTGGGCTAGACCTGTATTGGCTGGCTTTACTTCTGATAATATTTCCTGGTACCCATTTAGGGCTGGGTCAAACTGACAACCCAGGTCATTTAGTAAACTCTGTCCTAGTGTGGATTCAGCCAGCATCTAGCCCAGTGTTGTTCAGCCTTTTCCAGGTGATGCCCCCCTCAAATATATGGCAAAACCCTCACCCCCTCTAAAACAAATAGTGATTAAAAAGAGGACAAAAGGAAAAATCCCAAGAACTGTTAACAAGAACTTGGAGAAAAATATACTTCTAGTAATTCCCCCTGGTCTCTGGGTAGTGAGATCGGACGCCCGTGTGCACTGTTGCGCACATAAAAAATACCTTGGCAGTTGGAAATAGAAAATAGTAGCCTAACGGCAAAATTTGGAGTTTAAAATCTACCCAAAGTATTTCAGGATCCTCGCCTGTGCCACAGAGCCTGTGCACTATGCTGAGCTCCTTCGGACTCAGACTTGAGTTAGAAGAAGAACGGAGCACTTATGGGTTACACCTGTGTGCCATGGTGTTGCTCCATTGTTTAAAACCTCAAAACTGGGGGACAAAATTTATCAAAATATCAGTTTTGCTTGATGCCCAGCTCAAAACTTCACCTAAAGGTGCACCCACGTAGAGTTGAACAATCATTGATTTAGCCATTGCTCTATGGTGGCTCCCACTGTCAAAGAAAACAGATACAAAAGTTATATTATCCTATGTTATGTATCCCTACACACTCAGGGTTTAACTTAGTGACCTTGCTTTGTTCTTTCAGCTTGGAACATGGATCTAAGAACAAGGCAGTTCTAGATCTGTCAACTACAAGTCTGACACCAAAAACATGTGCTGTCCTGGGGAAAGTTCTTGCAACAGATAGGACATTTGTTGAGATTAAGTTTTCTGACTGCATGCTTTCTGAGGATGGTAAGATGGCATAATTTTTTTTTCTATCATTGTGATATTTCATGGTTATTGCTTCTTTGATATGCATTATTGTGTTGTTTTAAATCTGGTTTGTGTTCTTGTTCTTATTTCATGGTAATATCTTCATAATAATGTCTTTGTAATATTTTTCATATCTTCTTTGATATGCACTGTTGTATTGTTTTAAATCTTGTTTATGTTCTTTTTCTTCTTGTGCTTCTTTTCTTTCTCATCTTCTTCTTTTTCTTCTCTTTCTTCTCCCTCTCTTCCTCCTCCTCCTTCTTTTTCTTCTTCTTTGTCTTCATCTTTTTCTTTTCCCCCTTTTCCTCTTCCTCCTCCTTCTTCTTCTTCTTCTCCTGTGATGTACAAGTGTTACATGACATAATTTTTGTTTGGTTTCTCCACAATGCAGCTGTGAAAGGACTGGCTCAGGGGCTTGCCTATAACACATTCTGTCGCAAACTTGATCTCAAGGTTAGTTTGTTGTAGCTGCCTTCATTTGTCTACAAATATTTTTTCTTAGACATTCAGCTTAATGGAACTTCAGCTCATCATCTGACCAAATCATTTATATTTTTTTGGTTTATTAATTAACTAATAACATTTCTTCTTAGTCTTCTGCTTCTGTTCTGCCTCCTACTTATCTTCTCTAGCCTGTGTTGCTTCTTCTTCTTTTTCTTCTTCCTTCTCCTCCTCCTACTACTTCTTCTTCTTCTTGTATGCATCAGAGCACCTCTGAGAGCACAAAGCTTCAGCTAGGTTTCCGCTGGTAACAAGTTTGAGGCATTTCATATTTGTACTGCCTAAAGGAGATGATCCTTTGTCTGGTTGTTGTTATTGATTACTGATTTAATTACAGCATTACGGGTGTGCCCATAGATGCTTTATGCATCGGCAGCAAACATGTCAATGTATAGATGCTGACAGTTCCAATAGCACAGTTCTCGACTGATGTTTAGTGGCTTGCCTTTCCTCAAGTGGGAAGTTCTAATGTCAGTCTTGCATACTCAACTGGTTATCTTTGAGAGAGAGAGGAGATCTTTGCAACACAAGGACTTGGTGCTTCAGTACCATGTCAGGAGGAACATCTCTACATCAGCCCTACTCTGACAGATGCAAGCCTTTTTTTTAAGGCTCAGGAACCCTGAATGTTACACTTAAGAATTTAACTCTAGACGATTCACAGCCAGCCAAGCAGTTTCAGTCAACCAAGCAGTTCCCAACCAGGCAATTCCTGGCAACAGAATAGTTCTCTAAAGTTGTGAATCTAAGAATTTTTAGTGCCATTGTTTATTTATAGATTTATGTTTGTATTTTTCACTGAAAGATGTAATTTTTGACCTTTGATCACAGGGAAACAACATACGGGGTGCAGCTACAGAGGCATTGGGCAAGATGCTGCAGCATAATAAATGTCTCATCAGGTATTGTGTACATAATCAGGAACACATAATGTTAGTCTTCCCACGCCCCGTCCATATACACACTAACCTGTCATCTTGGCGCAAGGCTACGGGGGTGTTCCGCAAGGCCGTTGATATAGCGTGTTGTATATTTCAACATGCCAGCGCTTTTAACACTCCAAAAGTATGGAGAAACTGGTCCTAACACAACCCTCCTAGAGAGTGCTGCAACCTATGTCACAGGCATTCTCCTTCATGGAATGTAAATGTAAATGCAAGACATCGCAGAAAGCAAACAACAGAGGGGGACACACCCATAACCTTCAGGAAAGTCGACCAGCTCAACAAACTTGTGAATGAAAAGTGACCTACTCTGTTTGGGGAGACTTATGTGAACCTAACTCATAATTATCACTATTGTGACTAATGAACATAACGTAAGGTTGGGGGGGAGGGTGTAAACCCTACAAACAGAAGATATAAGACACCTCCCTTCCACCGTTAGCCTATAGGGCACCTCAAGGGCAGGGGTAAAGTTCCCTCTCCCCGCCCATCCACCATTCTGTTCAGGGTTATGTGAAGTTGAGGGACACGTAACTTATTAATACAATGTCCTCTTGTACCGAACTTATTTCTATAATATTGTCTTGTACGTAACTTATCACTATAATGTCCTTGTGTATGTAACATGTCACTATAATGTCCTCTTGTACATTGTTCTTCACTAAAATTCCCTTGTGTATTTAACATCACACTAATATTATCTTGTACGAAAATTATCACTATAATGTCCTCATGTACATGACCTATCACTATAATGTCCTCTTGTTCTTCACTAAAATCCTCTCGTGTATTTAACATCCCTATAATATTCTCTTGTATGTAACTTATCACTGTAATGTTCTTTGATACATAATTTCACACTATAATGCACTCTTGTACATTACTTATCATATCGGAGAATTCAGGCAGGTTCAGTGTGAAGGCAGTGGCTTGAGTCAATACAGAAGTCAAACAGTCAGCCTATGGATAATGCTGATATAAGTAAAGCCCTCAGAGAAATGAGAAGGGTGGGGAACTTTTGGGGCAGTGAATCAATATAACTTGGCAGAATAATAGACTTGGGAGGATAAGCATAGAAAAAAAACCGAGGTGCACACCAGGCATATTAGAGGACTGGTTTATCAACATAGAACTGGTACATTTAACCACCGGCAGTTGGGGTTCATACTGATGGGAGGATCTGAGCATCTATGGACTGGTCTGGAGTGATAACCCAGCTAACTAACTTATTGTAATGGCTCTTATGCCAAACATATCATTATAATATTATCTGGTTCCATTTATAATTTGTAATGATAACATCATCTTCTACATAACATAACACATTCACTTTAACCCTCCTCTCATTCATTACATAACACATTCACTTTAACCCTCCTCTAATTCATTACATAACACATTCACTTTAACCCTCCTCTCATTCATTACATAACTCATTCACTTTAACCCTCCTCTCATTCATTACATAACACATTCACTTTAACCCTCCTCTCATTCATTACATAACACATTCACTTTAGCCCTCCTCTCATTCATTACATAACACATTCACTTTAACCCTCCTCTCATTCATTACATAAAAACACTTTCTTCTGAAAGTTTATGTCTGGAATGGAATGGCATGGGAATGCTGGACAACTCCTTTGCTGTGTTCTGCGATGGGTTGGGTTCAAACACTTCGCTAAAGGCATTAGATCTTCGCAACAACCAAATCAGCCATGACAGTGTTGCAGAACTGGCAGCCGCACTGAAGAGAAATGTTCATCTTAGGTCTTTGGGTGAGTAGTGGCTTTTGTTTTCTCAGGTATGTCACTTAGTGGTGGCTTTTGTTTTCTCAGGTATGTCACTGAGAGGTGGCTTTTGTTTTCCCAGATATGTCACTGAGTGGTGGCTTTTGTTTTCTTGGGTATGTCACTGAGTGGAGGCTTTTGTTTTCTCAGGTATGTCACTTAGTGGTGGCTTTTGTTTTCTCAGGTCTGTCAGTTAGTGGTGGCTTTTGTTTTCTCAGGTATGTCACTGAGAGGTGGCTTTTGTTTTCTCGGGTATGTCACTGAGTGGTGGCTTTTCTTTTCTTGGGTATGTCACTGAGTGGTTGCTTTTGTTTTCTCATGGTATGTCACTGAGGGGTGGCTTTTGTTTTCTCAGGTGTGTCAGTTAGTGGTGGCTTTTGTTTAATCAGGTATGTCACTGAGTGAAAGTTTTTGTTTTCTCTGGTATGTCACTGAGTGGTGGCTTTTGTTTTCTCAGGTGTGTCAGTTAGTGGTGGCTTTTTGTTTTCTCTGGCATGTCACTGAGTGGTGGCTTTTGTTTTCTCTGGTATGTCACTGAGTGGTGGCTTTTGTTTTCTCTGGTATGTCACTGAGTGGTGGCTTTTGTTTTCTTGGGTGTGTTTGGGAATGTTTCCTATATGGGTCCAGGGGCTCTAGAATGTTCCCTATGTGGGTTCTGTGGCTCTAGAATGTTCCCTGTGTGGGTCCTGGGGGCTCTAGAATGTTCCCTGTGTGGGTCCTGGGGGCTCTAGAATGTTCCCTATGTGGGTTCTGTGGCTCTAGAATGTTCCCTGTGTGGGTCCTGGGGGCTCTAGAATGTTCCCTGTGTGGGTCCTGGGGGCTCTAGAATGTTCCCTGTGTGGGTCCAGGGGGCTCTTGAATGTTCCCTGTGTGGGTCCTGGGGGCTCTTGAATGTTTCCTATGTGGGTTCCAGGACTTCATTATGGGTGGAAAAAGAATAGAGCCACTGCCGTCCGAACAAACGTGTCGTAAAACCAACTAATTATTGCTGTTTTCTTCTAAGTCAGTATTCATCTGCCTAGAGGTAAGGTGCTAACAGTCTACATACAAACAAGTCAGATCTGTCAAATGTAGGTAAACAGAAAATAAATTCTGAACAACTCTAACATCCAGAAAGGGAAAAACAACCAGAACTTTCCCCTGATGAATGCGAAGAAGAAGAGGTGTTAATGTTAAAATTGGTACACTATCCAACAATTCAGTAATGCATTAATTAAAAATTAAACATATATAGAAGACCAGGATATTATATGGTTTTTATTCAAATAAATTTGTGTGTGTATGTGCACAAACGTTGGTGTAAGTGAGTGTGTATTGATTCAGCGATTGGCACAATTTAACAAATACTGGAATGTCCTTTTATTTAGACCCTTAGATTAGTTTGCTACGGCCCTTTGGATGCCATCAGTATTGTCAAAGAGGCTCTTTTTCTTACTCAAACTTTCGTTTCCAGAATAGACAATAATCGTTGGGTTGATGGGATGACAGGGGTTTGTTTTTGGATGCTCTGTGGGCCGATGCATTATCGTGCAGTAGAGACTACTGCATCTATTTTTGGTCACCAGGCAAAGAATGTGGCACAAACTGGGAAAGAACATTTTTCTTGTCCATATCTTCCATTAAAGTTTCATTGATCCTCTGTCAGATAACACCAGCTTCATCTGCCGTCTTCCTCATGGTCAGACATCAATATTTGTCTAAACATTCTCTGACTTTAGCAATCATTATTTCGAAAATAAATTGAACATCTTGGCCTTGCTTCATCGTCAGACATTTCCCCATCAGTTTTGAATTGTGAATGCCACATGAATATCTGAGCATGAGGTAAACATTGATCCCTATAAACTTCTCTCATCAATTCAACTGTCTCAGTAGTATTTTTTCTTAGTTTAATGTTCACTATTTGCTCCATGCTGTATACGTAACAACACACTTAGTTAGTTAGTTAGTTAGTTGGGTTATCCTCATTGCACTCCGGACATGTCCATAGGTGCTCAGATCCTCCCCTCAGTATGAACCCCAACGTCGGATGGCTAATAGTACCAGTTCTATGTTGATTGACAAGTCTTCTGGCGTGTCTGGTGTGCGTCTCGTTTTTTGCTGTGCCGATCTTAATTCCCAAGTCTGCCATTCTGGCGAGTGATGTGGATTCACTGCCACCAAAGTCCTCTATCCTTCCCATTTCTCTGAGGGCATTGATAATATCAGCATGATCCATAGGCTGACCGTCAGTAGTTATAGCGGATCCAGCCAACCTGTCAGCTCTTTCATTTCCATCGACGCCTGCGTGACCCGGAACAAAAATAAAGGTAACTCCACGCACAGTGGACTTCTGTAATGATTCAAGCCACTGTCTTCGCACTGAACCTGCCTGAACCCTCCGGATCATACTCATTGAATCACTGAGTATGCATACACGGGTGTATTTTTGTGTTTCAAGCCAGGCAAACGCTTGCGTCACTGCCATCACCTCCATCGTCATGCTGCTGGTTGTCATGGAGAAGGCGCCGTTGGCTTCTTTAACTGTTCTGCCCGCTGAGCGTGCTGTAAATGCCCATGCACTTCCGGTGTAAACAACACACTTGTCACTAGCTAACCATCTTATCCTTCAGCGATCTTTGGACATGCACTTAGTCTACCATAAACCATAAACTGTAATGCTTTGTGGGCCGATACATTATCGTTGCAGCTTAGTTGTCACAAGTCTACTGGGTGTGGCTACATGTTGTTTTGCAGCTCTTCCAGGAAAGGGTATTGTTGCACAACATGTTCTTGTTGCAAAACATATTCTGGGGTCTCTTCAGCATTAAGACACTGTCACAGAGCTGTTTGAGTCTCCTAGCCCTAATAAAATTAGAGTCATTATATAATTGTCTAACAGTGTCATGGAGATGTGAGCGAAACTTATGTATATGAGATCCATGTGAATATCAAGACTTGTGTACAAATGTGAGAACATGTGTGGAGATAGGGAGGCATGCATAGGTGGAGGGACGTATATAAGGGTCAACAGATTCAATGTGGATATTATAGATATTTCTGTAGAAATCAGGAGGTTGCTATGTGGATAAGTTCTCCACTAATTGCCTTACCTTCCCAGAAAACTCTTAAAAATTACCTGAACCCACTTTATTGGTCTGCTTTTTTCTCTCTTCATATTATGCCATAAGCCTTGATGCTGCAAATTACTGTATCCCACCATAAACATAAATTATAAATATGCAAAACAGATCTCAGATGGAATAATTGTGGCTTACTGGGTGGTCGGTCCTTGCTGGAGATGCTTCAGAGCAATAAGACCATATCAAGGCTGGAACTGGCAGGCAACAACATTCCATCGGACATCCTCAAGTCTATAGGTCAGTTGTGTGTGATCTGATCTCCATGTAAGTGTTTGTATATTGGTTATAGTTAATTATGCTTGTACCTATCTAATATCTTCACTATCAGATTAATATATTCCCCTTGTGATGGAATTACAGGCTGAGTTTAACACACAGAAGATATAATATGAAAATAAATACTACTAAAGCTGAAGTAATGAAATCAGTAGAATTGTTGTCCGCTACATATAGGATATAATGGTATAAGTCTAAAACAGGTTACAGAGTTTAAATATTTAGGAAGTATATTCTTGGAGAATAGCAGAACAGACAAAGAAATAGAAACAAGTTCTTTAAAAACACTACAATACTTTTATACCAACTGACACTATTATTAAGACATGCTGTGACTGCCAAGTAGCAGATTATAAACAGCTTATTCATACTATGCTACAAATTCCAAGTATTTTGTCATTATCAAAGGTAATGTAAAATTACCACCTGTGAAATGGGATGGCTGAGGAAAGCCGCTGTCTTAATCATCTGAGATAAAGGGAGAAAAAATGTATTAAGAAGCAGAGATCGAAGGGTTTTTATCATCATATTAGATGCAGCTGCAACAAATATCATTACAGGCTCTACACCTAAAAAGATCTAGCTTAAAACCTGGAGGGTGAAGATGGATTGATGACATTAAAGAGATTCTACACGGACACAGATGACAGCACCCAGTGCTACCTATCAAGCAGCGGCTGACAAACTGTTCCTTCCCCATGACGCTTTCGCCCCAGGAACGCTCAACAAAATGGGTCATGAGCCCAGGAGAATATTCCTGAAGAAATTTTTCTATGCCATGATGTAAACCTGTCCAGCATGTTCACTTCTGCTTCATTTCCACTCCGACTTTTACATTTTCACAACATATTTCAGCCCCCCCCCCCCCCCCCCCCCCCTCAGCATTCCACAGCAGGACCAAAGTATGTAGATTGTCTCCTTCTGATGTAGATAATCACTTTTCTTTGTGAAGGGGCTGCGTTAGCGCAGCCGATAGGAGGCTCACTTTCAAATCCAGCTGTGACTTGCTGCAGCCTCGGCTGGTGCTCAAAACCGGGGTTCACCCAGCCTCTAGGAAATGGGTAATAGAGTTGACACTTTGGGGTGAATGGAGGAGCGTCGCTGTAGCCACTGAGTTACGTGGGGACGGTGACACAGGCGGATAGTTTCTTATCAGCTGTCCGTACTGGTGGTAGAGCACTTATGGTTTATAACCGTGTACAATGACACTGATTCACATCTTCCGACTTTACCTTTTACCTTTACCTTTTTACTTTTCTTTGTGGGTACCAGACAATTTTTTTGTTTACAAGACATCTTCCTTGTGCCTTTTATTTGCTGATGGTGTATTGACCTATAAAACCACTAGTGTGCAGCTTTCACATAAATAAAAGAAAACCCCAACAATTGTTATTGTTGTACATTAATTGAGAGACATTGTTGTATTGATGCAGAGACTACTGTCCAGAACAATGCAGACAGACAAGCAATTGTAGATGAGAATCAGAAACGAACTCAAACGATGGCCAAACACATCAGAGACATGGAGCAGGACAAGAAGTTACAGGTTGTTTCCTTTTACCTTTTTATAGCAAGGCTGGTTATTGATTATTGAATTTTTTTTTTCAAGTGCAATTATTGTGTTGTCTTCTTCTTCGCGTTCACTGGCTGCAAACTTTTGCGGAAAGTTCTGGTTGTTTGTCCACTTCTGGACTCCAGTTGTGTTCCAGAACCTGAGTGTTGTGTGTACATCTGTTTCACAGGTCTGACTCATTTGCATGCAGACTGTTGGTTCCCTGCCTCTCAGGCAGATGTACTCGGACTTTGAAGGAAGCTCCAAATTCTTGAACACACATGCGGAAGATTAATTTGAAATGGGCTTTTGAGGTCACAATACCTGAACTAGGTCTGACTCTGGACAAGACATTGGAGCATATCTTGGTATAGTGACCTATCTACAGATCGAGTCTCCAGTCTGGCCATGTTCCACTGTGTTTCTCCACCAATTCAGAGTTGCAGTAGAAGTCATGGGCTTTCATAACATAAGAAATTTTTGGAAGTCAAAAGAAATTAAAACAGTATTAAACTTAAAATGTTTAATTCTAATATCAAATCAGTACTGTTGTATGGAGCAGAAACACGGACAACAACTAAAACAGTTAAAAATAAACTACAAACATTAATTGACTGGTTGCTTGCGCAGAACAGAGGGAATTAAATGGAATGTAGAAATCACTCATGTTGAGCTTTGGGAGAGAACTACTCAAATTTTCTGTGGACCAGGCGTAAAGAAAAGATGCTGGTATTGTATAGGACACACATTGAGAAAACCCGAGAACAATAAAACTGGAATATCTTTGCACTGGAGCCCACAGGGACATAGAAATACAGGCAGACCCCAACAAAATACATGGAGAAGGGAGCTAGAGAGTGACGTTAAAAGAATGTTGAGGACATGGTTGTGAGCCGTGTACAATAGAGAACAATAGAATGACTTGACATATGATGGTTGATGCGTATGCCCCATTTGAGGATAGAAGGCAGAAGAAAAAGTAGAAGTCATGTAAAGACCACTGGTTTCTCAGCTAAGGCATGGGGATGAAGAGCTCATCAGCACAGTCAGTCTCCATGGGGATGGTACTTTAGTACAGAATCAGGAGGAAACTCTCAGAGCTTTCCAAACTTTTCGTGTAGGTGACAGATTTGAGATATTTTAGACCAGGGCTTCTCAACCTTTGGGTCACGACGCCTTTGGGGGTCAAGCGATCATTTCACAGGGGTCGCCTACATGAGGAACTGTATTAAAGGGTCACGGCATTAGGAAGGTTGAGAACCATTGTATAAGGCAGACATAATTTTGGCAACACAGTAATTTGATCTACTAGCAAACCAGAGGTTTAACTAACCTCTTTTTAAGAGATGCTGACACACATGAATTGTGTAGCATGGCATCCACCTCGAGTGCTAGAGGTCCTGGGTTCAGGCCCCGGTGAAGTTTGGGATTTTTTCATGTGGACTTCTAGTAATTTCTCTGGTCTCTGGGTAGTAAGATCAGATGCCCGTGTGTATTGTTGCTTACATAAAAAAACGCCCTAGGCAGATTAAAATTGAAAATTGCAGCCTAACGACACTACCCGGGCACAATTTTGAGTTAAAAGTCTGCCTAGAGTATTTCAGGATCTTCGCTGATGCTTTGGAATTCGTGCACTGCGCTGAGATTCTTCGGACTCAGGCTTGAGTTAGAAGTAGAACGGAGCACTTATGGGTTATTACCCTTGTGCCATGATGTTGATCCGTTGTTTAAACTCAAACTCTTCAAGTACTACACATGCATTTCTTTGACTCATCTTTTTCTTAAGCAATGATTGCTTAAAGCAGTGTATGTTGTTTAAGAAGGGGTCCACATAGTACCAGTATGGGATAACAGAAGCTGAAGTACCAGTTGGTACAGAATGAGTTCAAGCTACAGCTGCTTGAGCCACAAGGAGCTCATAAAAGTATTGCATGCCATTTATAATGCACCACCTCTTGGCTCAGTGCTTACAGAACCTCTCACTGTACAGAACCTCTCACTGTACAGAACCTTTCACTGTACAGAACCTCTCACTGTACAGAACCTCTCACTATACAGAACCTCTCACTGCACAGAACCTCTCACTGTACAGAACCTCTCACTGCACACAAAGTCGAGGAACACAAGAACTCCAGTGTAAATAAACATCATCAGTGCAAACAGCTGATGGATTGTTTTATTGAAACATGAAGCTTCTCTTCTCCTTTCTGTGTCAGTGGGGTAACTATTGTCTAGGGTGAATATTCACATAAAAAACTATCATCTGTCACACTTACTTCTTGGAAAACTCCATTAGAGATACCTTCACAACTGACTCCTTCAACTTTTGCTGCTCATAGCAATAAAATCCCACAAAGATTGCCACAAACTCTCCACCATTTGCAGTTGATTTGACATAGTAATATTTTCACATTTATCGGCCGCTGAGCTGACATCCATAGATTTCTCTGACATTCAGCAGTCGTTCTTCTCTGGGCCATTGAACATTACTTCAGACAGAACCCCTCTCTCTTGCTTGCTCTGTCTTGTATACCCTGTTCTCTCTCTCATGGACTCATGAGTCCTAATTCATGTATCTTGTGATTTCCATGAAACATTTGCTTCATGCTACCATTACGAAACTCATGTTTATCATGACTTGCACCCACTCGATCTGCCACACATAACCTATGCCCTTGACTATCTCCTGATTTCTGCTAAACAGTGTGTCCTCATTTTCTCCTGCCAAAACAAGAAAGGGTATCCTTACACCAATAGGTGAATATTGCGTTGCCTGGAGCTGAAAGAGTTCAGAGTGGCTGATTCATAACAAACCTTCACTTCAGTGTCTTTTGATGGAGAAAGCTTTGTTGATGCATTGGTTAGCCCACTCTTCCACCAGCACAACAGTTTTGAGTTCAGTCGCACTTAGTTATAGTATTGAATTTGTTTAGATAATTGTAGTTCTATTGAGCACAGTCTGTTTAGATAAACATGTATTCTGGGGATATGAAACAACATTGTTTAGATAACTATCTTGTTATTGGCATAGACACTGTTTAACTGCCTTTGTATGCTATTGTTATTAAACATTTATATAAAGAGGCTGAAATGCTAAGAGGAGAAATACTGACATCTTGAAAGATATGAACATCAAGAAAGATTGGCTAATAAACAGCATCCTGTCTCAGAAGCTGAAATATTTTGGTCATATTAGCCCCGTGGCGGATAGGAAAAAATAATAGCAGAAGGCATGGTACCAGGAAGGAGGGACAGGGGCCGACTAACAGGAAGATGGGCACAGGGTATAAGTGACTCCTTGCGTATGAATGTACACAAGGTGGGAGAGCTGGCAAGAGACCGAGTTTCTTTCAGGCAGAACATGATGAGAGCGACGTTCTGCAAAGGACCTGCTACATGATGATGATTTTGAGGCTTCAAATTAAAACTATTTTATCATCAGTGAAAGTGAAACCTTTAGAGGATAATCGCTGAATGAAGATCAAGTATAGTGGTGCATGCGTATCAGTCCAGCAAGTGTATCGGTGGAGTAGGAAGTTTCAGAACAGAGTGGCTTCCGGGACAGATTATTCATGACTGGGTCAGGCACACAAAATAGTGACCCCAAAGTTTATCGCAGCCACTAAAGTCCTCTTCAAGAAAAACCACCAGTTGTTTTGATAATCATGTATTCTGTTGCTATTACTATTAATGTTCAAATTTTTTTAATAACCATGCATTTTGTTATTATTTGTATACAGATTGTTTACATAACCATGTATTATGTAGATAACCATGTATTATGTAGATAACCATGTATTATGTGGATAACCATGTATTATGTGGATAACCATGTATTATGTAGATAACCATGTATTATGTAGATAACCATGTATTATGTAGATAACCATGTATTATGTAGATAACCATGTATTATGTAGATAACCATGTATTCTATTGCTGTATGTTGTAGTTGAATGAGCTTCTGACAGCCATCGACAAACAGGAAGATATCATGACGAAGTCCCAGAAGTATGTTTGCTTGTTAGCTCTGTTTCACTGTTGCTGTTGTTCAAATCCAGACCTTTGTTTTCAAGATCGAGATTACGTTTTAGTACACTGATTAAATTTTAGCCTTTCTATTTCTTACCCCCCCCCCCCCCCACCCCCACCCACCCAAACTCTGTAACCTTCCCATTTTATTCATCTCTGTCTCTTACTCTCTTCTCTTTTGTTACCCTCTCTCTCTCTCACACACACACACCCCCACCCACCCACGCACGCGCACACACACAGGTATATATATAAATATACAGACACACACACACATACATATCACCCCCAGTCTACTAATGATGATATACCTCTTAAAGTAGCCAAGTTTATTGTTTATAAAATCAACTATCCATCATTATATAAACCATGTGCATATATGTGTTTTAGTTTTGCATGTTGTATTTGAGCTTTGTTGAATGTTGTTTCCATCAGGGCATCAACACAGCACATTGGCATTTTGCAGCTGGCACTGGATGAAAGGAAAGGAGCTTTCAATTCTTTGGCAGCAAAGTAAGCCAACAGCATTAAAACAGACATTAGATACAGACATTAGATACAGACATTAGATACAGACATTAGATACAGACATTAGATACAGACATTAGATACAGACATTAGTTACAGACATTAGATACAGACATTAGATACAGACATTAGTTACAGACATTAGATACAGACATTAGATACAGTCAGCAAAAATCAAATGACAAGATACATCTTCCTCTTTTTCTTCTTCTTTTTCCTCTTTTTCTGCATTCGCATTTAAAAGGACAGTTGGCACATTTTGTTGTAGTTTACAGCTGGACTGTAACATCTGCATCTTTCAGCCAAGGCATCTGATATTATGGCCTGGAGAGAATGAGGCATTTGCGTGTAACTAGAGTGTCTACGGCTCACTACTGTCAGAGGAAAGGCAAAACAGTCATATAACCGGTACCATCAGTATTGGAACTCTGCACTGGTTGCTGAAGATGAGGATGGAGCATGCATGGGAATGTGCCGTGTGCTGTGATGCCAATTCGTAACTCAACTCAAAATCTGATTTTATCAAATCCTGAATTAGTTGTCTTTTTTTTACGTTTGTTTAAGAAAAGTGGGTCTTCTGTTCTTATTCCCCACTCCCCTTCCCCAGCTTGGGTGGAGCTTTAGAGCCCATGCAGAGAGAAAGTCGTGAATAACTTGGACATGACAAATACATACAAGAACATTAGGGTTCAGAAATGCTAAGCTGAAGGAATTGGTGGAAAAAGGGGGCTTCCAGGTGACCCAATCAGATGGAGGCAGTGTCTGACTAACAACTGTGATGATGATGAAATCAACGTGTTGTGAAGTGATCTAATCTCTCATTTTCAGTTCCAGTCTTTGGACCAAGCTTAGGAAGATGAGAGCAAGGGGACAGTGACATGACATAGTTCAACAGCTTCAGCAAGATTCTTCGCAATGTGTAGCCTGATGATACTGATTATTAAACAACATCAACAAGAGTCTATGGAGTATGTAACCTGGAGATTGTGAGAGCAGGGAACATCTAAATGACTTCATTCAACGAGAGTCTATGGATAATGTAACCTGGAGATTGTGAGGGCAGGGAATATCTAAATGTCTTCATTCAACGAGAGTCTATGGAAAATGTAACCTGGAGATTGTGAGGGCAGGGAACATCTAAATGACTTCATTCAGCAAGAGTCTGTGGGTAATGTAACCTGAGATTGTGAGAGCCAGGGATGGTGAAATGACTTAATTCAACTAGAGTCTTCAGACTATAGCCTGATGATGATGATTAATAAGAAAACGTCATCAAGACTCTATGGACTATGCAACTTGGCGGTGGTGAGAGCAGGGTTCGGTAGTATAGTATGCTGTGTTGACATCTAGGTCATATTTCCTGTACATGAAGAAACAATCATGGACATTTTGTAACTGATTGTAATTTTGTTTACAGATTATCAATGGCCGAGACAGAACTGACCTTGTCGGAACAGAAGGTCAGTGATCTGAACTCCGTGATAAACAGACTGAAGCTGGAGATGCAGGAAATGGCAGTGAGTCATGTCAATGAGATTCACAAGATGAAAGAGGTACACAACATATAGCGGCGGTGATGTTGGTTGAATGTCTCATGTCCTCTCTGTGTTTACATGTGTGTCCTTTTTCTTTTGTGTGTAGGCTGAGATTTTTATTTTAAATCCTCAGACTTGCAGAGGATAGAAAATATTTCCCACGAGATGAGTTGGGCATTCTGACACCCTCGGCCAGTGGCAGTGACAGTTTTAAAAGATGGGAAGATCATTTTAAATATACAAACTTCCCTCCTGCCCCCCCCCCCCCCAACCCCCCCTTTTTCCCCATTTGGCTCTGATATTTCTGCAAAAGTGACCTAGGGCATAGCATAAAGCTCAAACTCCACAGCTCCATCGTGACCCTGCAGACCTCTATAAAATTTGTGCTTGTGAACTGAGCAGGGCACCTTGATGATGACAGACTGTAATTTTGTCTGTTTTAATAGATGCAATAGGAGTGCACTTGATTGGTTATAAGGCTTTTTTTGCAAGCCAATGTGAACATGGTAAAGTTTTGAAGTTCATCAGTTGTCTTATGTGTCCTGCAGGACAGGGCCACTGAGGAGCTGAAGTTCCTGAAAGAAATATCTGAAGGACAGGACAAAAATATGCAGCTACAGAGTAAGGTAAGACTTGAAGGGTGTAAACGACAGATTTGGATAAGTTATAGAGAGTTATGGAGGCATCATATTTTAATGAGTACAGAGTTGTAGGAACAGAATAAGATAAGGTAATACCAGAGTTATAGAAAAGAATATGTTTAACAATAAAGGTCAGTTGTGTATCCTTTACTCCGGACATTGCAGAACCAACCAAAGCAGCCCCTGGCTGTTGTGTGGTTTCTCCTCAGCAATATTATGTCCAGTAGTTTGTCATTGCTTTCTGGACGGTCAGCCCCCTAAATACCACTGTCGAAACCAACCCAAGGGGCATG